ACACAGAGGGTTCCAAGATACCTGCAAGTATTAACAAGATGCTTGTGAATACAGAATATAAATTGTTCAAAATGCAACTCTTTTTTGGGGAGTCTTTTTGAGACAGGGTCTCCCTGTAGCCCCAGCTGTCCTGGAACTCACTTTGTAGACCAGGATGGCCTTGAGCTCACAGAGATCCACCTGCCTCTGCCTCCTGAGTGATGGGATTAAAGGTGTGTGCCACCATGCCTGGCTTTTCCCCAGTTTTATAGGACTAAACAAGAAAAGACTATACTGGGGATATATTTTATTAATTTATTCAAGCATTCTCAACAGTGACTTCAGTATAAATCAGAATGTGAGACATATACCATGCTTGCTACTGCTGACCATTTACCTGAATATCTTAGTGTTCCTAGAACTCTAGTTAACAAAACCATGACCTCCCACTCTTCTAAATCTATTAGTCCCACTATTGTCTATCAGTGTGCGAATTTTTTTTAAATGTGGGGAGTAGGACTGGGGATGTAGTTAACTTGGTACAGCACTTGCCATGCAAGTATGAGAAGCTGGGTGATAGCTCACATTTATTACAGTAGCTATAGCATCTATGACAGGTTAGGAGAAACATCCTAAGCTCAAAGGTCAGCTAGCCTGGCATAGGGCACTGGCAAACTAGAGATCTTGTCTCAAAACAAGGTGGGTAACAAGAACTGACACTTAAAGTTGTACTCTGGTTTCCAAAATGTGTTGTGACACATGTTCTCCCCCTACTCACCACAGGAATGCATACAGATACATACTTTATACAAACACACACATATTATTCACAGTTATTATACACACGTATTTATACATACATTATATATACATATTTATAAATACATTATACATGTTAAACATACACATGCATATACACATACACATTTTATACACACATGTGCACATTATATGCACACATATACATACACACAAACATGCATACATACACACATTATATATACACACATATACATTATACACACACATGCATGCATACATTATATGCACACAATATGTACATATAGAAAGTGAGGTCTATTTTCGATTTTCTGCTTAAATAATCACATGGTAATATGAATAACGAAGTTCATGAAAAGTAATTTAGTCTCATTCTCACACACCAATGCAAATGATTTTAAGTCTATAGAGAGAAGACAGTTTAAGATTGAACAAAGGAGAAACATAAACGAGAGAAACATAACAGTAGGCTATACAGGAGTGTCAAATAGAAGCAACAAAATATGGTCTTTAGTGCAGAGTATCACCCCTCTCTGATGGTCTAAGACTTGTTTCAGTTGAATTGAGGTGAAGTATCTAGGACAAAGCATTTCAAAGGACTTCACATTTATTACTAGCAGTAGTATTCTGCTTGCTGTTTTCTAATGGTGTGAATAGTTGTCTTGCCACTGAGAGCAGTGTGTAACTATTTCATGTTAATGTGTATGTGTGTGTATGTTTGTGTGCAGGGCAAAACATGTCTTGAAAATAATCTTAACTGTAATTGTCAAAACATTAAATTTATTGTGAAATATTTTCATCTTAAACATCATGCAATAAAATTTGAAATTTATATATTTCGAGATCTAAAAATATTTTTGTCTATTAATTTATCTTTTAGAGTATTGTTGCCACTCCTCCATCTGGTGTGTGTTTGTCATTTATTATGCTAATTTGAAGTTTTGTGAATATGACTACATAAAGTGTAGAAAATATGGAGAAATAAGACATGGCAAGTTAATGGGGAGACAAACAGATTTTTGAATAAGACAGTGATAGTGATTTATTTCAGTAGAGATATTAATTTCTATTATGTGATTATAAACATGGTATTGTAAAAGAGTCAATTTCTTTTTCCTTTTTGAATAGCATATGAGCAATGAAGTTAAAGAGACCTAGGAAACAATCTCAGTGATGACATTTAAAAGCTCAATGGGTTGGGTAGGTTCTTAACTTTTTATAGAACTAGAAACTAGGCATAATAATTGTTTCCATCTCAAATAGAAATTGTGATGTTTCTATAAGGCACAGAATGGCAAATGTTTTACAATTGGGAGTTTTTATACATAAAAAACAGGGCCTTGGTGTGTTCCTTAGTAATGCCAAGAGTGTGTGAGGCCAGAGTGTCAGTGTCTTTCGAACTTTAATTATTTATTTATTCATTTAAATTCATACATCTTAATGGGTACCTTATCACAATTCACTATATACATGTAATATATATTGATCAACTCACGATAATATGCATTTCTTTCTCTTCAACATCTAATCACCTGCATGTGCTAGAATTCATAGTCTTCAGTCATTTTGAAATATATGATGGGTTGTTTAATGCAATTGTTATCTTACTGCTAAATCTCTTTAACTGTGGTTTTGGTCCCCCTTATTTATTTCTGTCACCCTTCCTCCTATACTTCCTCTTCATTAGGTGTCAGTAATTCTGGAAGGGAACAGAATTCAGGACACTCCACTGATGACAATAAATATTTTGACCGATATTCATCATGGTCATGAGGAGTAAGTTTATTTCATGTTTAGTTTAAAATTAAATTGCCATACCTACCCTAGTAGACTTAAAGATTCTATATCATACTTATACTTTGATAATGAGTATGCATATATGTATATATATTTCATGTAATATATTTTTGTATAAATACAGAATGTTTCACATATATAATTCACAATTTAATATATGGATATGTATTCATTTACTTCCTGATATTATTTTACTAAGATGCTTAGATTTATTTTACAGTGGCTATGGTGGAAAACTAATGTAATAATTAAATCTACTTTGGAGCAAATCAGTTTAGCTTTTCAGTCCTTTGCATAGACTTTCTGTCCTTGACCCTTTTTCAGCCGTAGTACTTCAGTTCATCTTTCCAGGAGCATTTGTGTTTTAGAAAGTGCACAATCTTATTAAGTTTTAGAAATATTCTTTTTGTGTGCTCATTAATTTCTAGGACTAATTTCATTTCACATTAGATGAGAATTTTAATTAGAATTTTGACTTTTGTTACATTTCTCAAGCATCAATTACTTATTCTACAAAGGTACAGGGTCAGAATTGATTAGCAAAAACACGAGAAACCAAAAAAGTCCGATAAATGAAGGTTCATAAAAATAAAGCTCGCTAGCGACTCCAACAGCCAGTTCGATTAGCCAAGGACCCCAGCTGCTCCGGTGCCACAGATGGATCCTGCTCCTGCGTGGGTTCCTGCAAGTACCAACAGTGCAGATGCACCTCCTTCAAGAAGAGCTGCTGTGCGTGCTGCTCCATGGGCTGTGCAAAGTGTGCCCTGGGCTGTGTCTGCAAAGAGGCCTCCGACAAGTGCAGCTGCTGCGCCTGATGTGGGCACATCCCCGCAACCACGTGCAAATACAGCAATATGTATAAACCTGGACTTACTATTTTTTTTTCTATCCTGACCTATTTCTCAACACCTTTCTAAGAAGCATGTAACTCATAATAAAAATAGTTGACTTTAAAAAAAGCTCATTTCTCCTACAAATTATGCCATCAAGAAAGTGAAAAGACAGCACACAAAATAGAAGAAAATATCTGCAAACCATATGTTTTTAAGATTGTAATGTACAGAATATATTCAAAATTCTTATATATTCTCAATAAAAGTGACCTCCATTTAAAATGAGTAATATTTTTCTCCAAACAAGATGTACAGAAGGCCAATAAGCTCTAACAAGAAGCACAGCATCTTAAATTTACTAAGTAAATTTAAATTGAATTCTCTTTATAATGCAACATTTTAGCCACAGTGATGCCTAAAATTACAAAAACACAGATGATAAAATATTGACAAAATTGTGGAGACTTTGGCTTGCTCATATATTGCTGATTAGAATATTTGCAACTATTTTTGAAAATTGTTAATGATCCCTCAAAATTAGTACAGTTATCATATGGCCCAGCAATTGTTCATTTAGGTATATACTCAAAAGAATTGAAACTCATTTTTAGCCAAAAATTTGTATGTAAATGGTCATAGTAGCATTATTCATATGCACAATGGAATAATCCAAATGTCTGCAACTGAAAAATTGGAAAAACACAGTGTATTTAGTCACTTTTCTGTTGCTGTGATAACACTGACCAAAGCAACTTGTAGAAGGAAGCGTTTATTTGAGCTTAGGGTTCAAGGGAAATTATAGTCTGTCATGGGGGTGGGGGCATAGTGGGGGCATAGTCATGTCATGGTGGCTGGAGGTGGCTGGAGCAGAAGCTGAAGCTAGTCTCTACATCTTCAAGAAGGCACAGGAAGCAAGAGAGCAACTGAAGATCCAACAAGGCTTAAGAACTCTCTAAGCTCACCCCTGGTGACATGCTTCCTCCAGGATAGCCATACCTTCTAAAACCTCCCAAATTAGTGCCATCATCTGGGGACAAAATGTCCAAATACTTAGAGCCTATGGGGGGCATTTTCATTCAAACCATCACACACAGGTTTTATTTATACATAAAATAGAACATTTCCTGGACATAAATAGCATGAAATTGGAAGTGCATGAATCATGAAAAAGTGCCAGATGGTTCACAGTGCTGAAAGGGGCTATGCAAGTTGGTAGGGTAGAAAAGTCACCAAAATTCTTATCCATCTATGGACTCTGTGTGTTACAATCGCAACCACCTAGGTCAAATGTTCCTTAATGGTGTAACAGTGGCATGATGTTTCAAGGGTAACCAACAGCTTTCTGATTGAATTTAAGGCTAAATTCACAAAAGTAACTCATTACTGGTCCTGTAAACATGGAGAATATCTAGTGGCTGGGGAGGTCATAGGCCCAAACAGGAATGCACTACTGATGTTTTGCTGACTGGACACATACTGAAACTGCTTTCTAAATGTTTTTACACATAGACTAGTACTGCTCTCAGACTGGGTCAGATAAGCTTCATATTGCAGTGGTTAACAATGCAGAGCCACCTAAGTTATCAAAGTGCTGAGAATGAGTGAGTGCTGCATGTTCAAGCCCTAGAGGTGACATCTTTATCACCTCTTCCAAGGGCCAGGGAACACTCGGGAAGAGGGACATAATGCTTGTGAGAGTCAGCTGAAGAGCAGGAACACTATGAAAAGCTGTCTTCTGGAGATGACATTGTCATTGACATCATAAACACACTAGCTGTGGCTATCTGCACAAGTCTTGCACACAGAAAAGATATGTGTCCCGACCCACAGGACAGTCAACGTGGGTACCTGGAGGGAGGAGAGGGGATGGTAGGTGCCAGGTGGTGGAAACAATCCATAGGAAACACGAACAAAGTCCAAAAACCCAGTCCAGAAAATTGGGAACACAGGATGTGATGATGGATGGTGTAGTGATGACACAGGTGGCATAGAGTCTGGGGATGTTGTAAAGCGGATGAGGCATTTAGGTACCCAACATGCATTGTCAGCATTCAAGATGCAAAGAATGGAGACAAGACAGGCTTTTTGATCAAGTCTCATTTATTAAACATCCACATAAATTTTTATAGAGAGGGAAAATGGGAAGCTGGCAGGGACAAATCTATTGAGGCAGAGCAATTCAATTAACAGAACAATTATCATAATTACACCACACCAATTGATCACAGAGTAAATTCCATAGTAACACCACAATTCTATATAGCAAGTTATAAATCAATTAAGAGTTTACACTTGCATGATTACAAAGTAATGCAAAAGTTTCTTAGGCAGTTCCATGAGAAATGAGGGAGTCTCTCAAGCGGTAAGTGCCTGAGTTAGAATAACATGTTTGTGTGAGGCTTTCAAGTATAGTCATCTGGTTAATCTTAAACCAGGTCAGCCTTGATGTCTGGAAAACAGCTTTGCCAGGAATCAGTTCTTGCTATATTCTGGGGTGGGGGCCTATGACTCTCTACAGATCCCCCTTTCTTTTATATTTTAATAAAGAAGGGAAATGAGCCAAAACAATCTCTTAGGGAACCGTGCCTGTCTTAGGTTGGGAGATCTTCTTCTGATACTTACCCATCATTGGCTTAAAACAGCTGCTTTGGCTGCCAGCCTGCCTTAGGTTGTTATCAGTGAGATCTCCTCTTACCTGTCTTTGGCTATCCGGTTCAGCTCTCAAGGGGACGACTGAGGCATGTCATCACGTGGCCTTTCAGGCTCACAGGGCTCCTCCCGATCTTTAAGTGCAAGCCTGAGATAACGTATTTGAATTGGCTTTGCTGTAAGATTATCAATCTTTTTATGAAGCTGGTAACTTTTACCCCAACCTGTGCTCTGTGTTGAGGTTAGTCAGAGCCTAAGTCCCCCTCCAAGCAAACAAAAGGACCCTAAGTGGACAAACAGTGTACAGTATGGAAGGGCATTATATAAATGATTAAAACAACGGTGCACAAAGCATGTGGAACAATTAATGAATCATGGAAAGAATCATAGTATCACAGGCAAAGTTGAGAGAGGATGGTAGGTGCCAGGTGGTGGAAACAATCCATAGGAAACACGAACAAAGTCCAAAAACCCAGTCCAGAAAATTGGGAACACAGGATGTGATGATGGATGGTGTAGTGATGACACAGGTGGCACAGAGTCTGGAGATGTTGCAAAGCGGATAAGGCATTTAGGTACCCAACATGCACTGTCAGCATTCTGTGGAAAAAACATAAACATGCCCTCTCCCCCAAATGAGGATAAGGGAGGATGTCACAATTTATCAGCTGTAGAGTTACCTAAAGGTGAAAACAAAGAGGGCAAGAGGAAGCACAAAGACAGTTAGTTTGGTAGCGGTGACTGGAAACTGTCAGGAGCATAATTTATAGTGCCTTGACCCTGTGGAGCAAAAGAGGTACGTATGTACCAAGCAGGTGTCCAAGGTAACATACAAGAAACAAAATGACAAGAGAGGGAGGACACACCTTAGTTTTAGAACATTTAAGAGTAACACAAACATGGGTTGTCTAAAACACATCCATGGAACAATAAGGTGACAACAGGTAACCATGGAGACACAAACATACCATTTAAAGTGAGACAAACAAGGCAAAAATAATTTATAACTGATATCAGTAACCTAATTTTGTAAGTTTTGTAGTGTGTTGTTTTATTTCTGACATCTATTGTAAACTCATGGAACCTGGAAAAGAGCAAAATAGAGTTGTAGCTCCTGTCA